TTTCACATTATTTTTTTCAGATTTTTCTTCTCATTTTTTTACATTTTTTCAGATTATTTTTTTGAGATTGTCTTTTTTTTCAGATTTTCTTTTTTTTCAGAATTTCTTTTTTTTTTCAGATTTTCTTTTTTTTTAGATTTTTTTTTTTTAGTTTTTTTTTTTTCAGATTTTCTTTTTTTCAGAATTTCTTTTTTTTCAGATTTTCTTTTTTTTCAGATTTTCTTTTTTTTCAGATTTTCTTTTTTTTTCAGATTTTCTTATTTTTCAGATTTTTTTTTCAGATTTTGTTTTTTTTCAGATTTTCTTTTTTTTTCAGATTTTCTTTTTTTTTCAGATTTTCTTTTTTTTAAATCCCTAATGTTGATTCATGCATTTCCAACATTTACAAGAGCATTTGTATCAAGCTGGGTCAATTAAAATTTCAACTTTGCTTTCAACTTTTCTTGTTGATAACTGTTACACTGCCTCTCACCTCCATTTACTACTTCTTTAGAGTGCTGGGAAATGTGAATCTATGCTTTCCCGGGAGCATTGGTTCTAAGAGAACACAAGTTAGAAATTTCCTTTACATTACCTGGATCAACATACACCTAATGAAGGCTGGAGAGAACAACAACCAAAATGTTGTGATAACAACAACAAAGATGAGGACAATAGCCTGCATGGAAATGATAACTCCTCATCCCAGAAATTCAGACACAAGCAGCCTTAACCGAAATTTAAATTCACTTTACCAATTCCTTTTCCAATCTTGATAGCCATGATACTACCTCATAGTAGTATAATCTAGGGAAAGATGGATTCATGCCTTTCCAAGGAGCATTGATTGTACAGGAACACAACCAATTGTAACAGAAATTTGAACTCATTTTACCAATTCCTTTTTCGATGTTCATAACTATTACACTGCTTCACATATCATTTTATATATATATATATTTATATATATATATATATATATATATATATATATATATATATATGTAGAGTGCAGGGAGATATGGATTCATGCTTTTCCAAGGAATATTGGTTCTACATGAACACAAACGACCTTAGTGGAAATTTGAATTCCTTTTACAAATTGTTTTTTCCATTTTGATAACTGTTACACTACCTCAAACCTCCATTTAGTACATGTATGGAATGCAGGGAGGTAGGATTCATGCCTTTCTCAGAAGCATTTGAACTCCTCTGTGTTAATAATTTGTGCTCCATCCCACCTAAAATATAGATGCTTAACATATATTAGGGTAGATCACTGATCACTGATTAAGTGCATTGACAAAGGAGGATTTATGTTAAATCATAAATATTTGTTGTGTACAATATTTTCTCATTAGTAGACTATAGATTTATTGATGGGTGTACATTTATATATCAGCAGACATCAACAGCTTTAATATAATATATATATATATATATATATATATATATATATATATATATATGTATATATATAGGAGGCATGGTGTAGTAATGGATACCAGTTCGGATTGAGGAATCTTAAAGCTAAGTTCAAATTCCATTTGGATCCATTACATTCACTAACATGCTAATACTCTTGGGTAAGGTATGAATCCTCTTCTTATCCCCTCAGCTTTGGGCAAATAGCAGGACAGGCTGGATTCATGCCAACCAAATGGCCTAGGAGAAGAATATATGTATATATATATATATATATATATATATATATATATATATATATATATATATATATACAGACACTTTTGGGGTTCGGGTCATTGGATCTGATAAGGTAATTTAGTTTCTAGCTCTTTATATCTGCAAAAATTCCAACACAATTTCCTTCCACACAGTTTTCTCTTTCATTTTGTCCTGAAGAAGCTGAAATTAAGATGTGCGTCAAAATGTGTTTATGGCTTGGCACTTTGTCTAATCATCTCTACTTTTGTATCAGATACTATTTTACATCCTATACATGCACACACACACACACACACACTGGGTGTAACAGTGAAATTCTCCAAACTGTGTAAGAGCAAAATTGTCTAATTGTTAAATTAAGCTTTGAACTGATGTATCATGGAAATAATTAAAGATATCTTACTGGAATTCTCTAAGGTTTTTTTTTTATTTATTGGACTCTACTTTGAGCAATAACAATGTATAATTACTCTCTAAGCTTAACAGAAGAACCATGATTAAATTAATTATAAACTAAAATGACATGTTCATCATTAATTAATCATAGATGAGGATCAAAAGCTCATAAAGGATTGAAATAAAATTTATATATATATATATATATATATATATATATATAAATATAATAGGAAAACTAGTAATTGCTGACACGTTTCGTCAATGTGGACTTTATGAAAGCAAAATATGAAATGAATTTAATTGAAAACAAGGTAACTAATAAAAACAATGTTCCTAGCAACTGTTTCAATTAAATTCATTTCGAATTTTGCTTTCATAAAGTCCACATTGGACAAAATGCATCAGCAAATACTAGTTGTCCTATTGTCATTTTTATTCATAAATATTGTCTTCTCTACTGGTTAAATCGGAGAAATTTTCATACATATATATATATATATATATATATATATATATATATATATATATATATATAATTTCAGGATCATTTTCCAACTTATTCAAGATTATCTTTGCCCTCTCTAACCATCTAACTTTCTGTCTTGGAGTAACAAGGTGCCTTACAGGTTTTAAGTCTTCAAGTCTTTTTTCCCTGCTCTTTAGCTGAAACTCCTTTCTCAATGCCAAACATCTTATGGGTTGAGTTGTATCTTTTCTAATTGATCTCTTTAGCTCTAAATTGAGATGATGATCCCTCTTCTTGTTGTGACCTCCTGATCCAGTTTTCCTCTCTACTCTTCCCTCTTTTTAAAACTTATTCGTCGTTCTCTGGATAGTTCTTGAATAGATTTGAAGATGGAAGCCAGAGTATGAATGTTGTAACCATTACTGAAGGCCTGAATGATCTATTTTCTCTCACCATTGCTCAGTTGGGAAGGCAGTGGGACTGACACAAACGATTTTACCCTGTTGTCTTTCTAGCTGAATAACTCAAAGTGTTTTTCAGTGATTCTTACAATAAATGGTGTCAAGATGGCTAAACGTTGTATCTAAAAACCTTGAAAAAGAAACTAGTTTAGTGTTTTTTTAGATGTTAAAGATTTTGTGGGATGGACAATTATGCTGTTACATGATTTGGACAATATATTTATGTATATGTAATATTTTGTTAAATGCATGTCCGATCAAACAGTATTTTTTCCTACAAAGGAGAACCTTAATGGAAAACACATTTTCTTAAAATTTCTCAAGTGTGTAGGGTAGGTCAATACAGGTATTCACTAAAAATGAAGGTTGAAATAATAAAAATGTTGGATTTAAATAAATCCATTAAGAAATATATATATATATATATATATATATATATATATATATATATATATATATATATATTTAAATGAAATAATATTTAAACAAATAAATTATATATATATATATATATATATATATATATATATATATATACACACATATATGTACAAATGATTCATATATACATATGTATGAATGATTCATTGTAATATATATATATATATATATATATATATATATATATATATATTACAATGAATCATTCATACAAAACTATATTAGTAAAGTTAATGATATAAAATTTTAATCATTAACTTTACTAATCTACTTTATGAATGATTCATTGTAATACTAAATTAAACACCACATATTTGATATATATATATATATAATTGAAATGGAAAATTTTATTTATAAAGACATATTTTTATGTTTAACTTTATTTTATAGATACAAGTATTTAAGCAAATGCTCTGTTTATGATAAACAGTGATTAAATGAATGATGTCATTTTTGAAAATTTTAATATAAATTAAACTGCACCTCGGAACATATTTGAATATATATATATATATATATATATATATATATATATATATATATATATGTTAGCAATAGATTATCATCAGTTAGACAAGGTATTTGAGTTGTGTTTTCATCTATAAAGCTAACCAGAAAAACCAAGTTAGAGTTGTTAATGTTGACCTTGAATATTACTGAGAGTGATTTCCTTCCTCAGCCGTGATTATCAACACAAAAATACCTGATATTATCAGTGTAAATAATTTGTGCTTTGTATTAATGTTGACGTTTTCATTTCTTACTCTTCTATCATCAATTGGCATATCTTCAACACCAAGTTGATATCTGAACACTTGCTCAATACTCGCATAATTCAAATATTTATTAACTGAACAGAAGACCATCATACCCATTGCAAATGTCCATCATCCTGGATATGACGATAAACTACACCTGCTTCCTGGGTAAGATGATAAACTACAGCCAGCAGCAAGGCCTCTGATTAGGAGGTTTTGAGGAGCGTGGAACCACCTCTTAATTGCTGGTGTTACCATGTCCTCCCTGATTCAGTGTGGTAGCCCTTGTTAGGGTCCTAGCTATGGGCAAGTAGTTAACTATTACCAGCAATACATTTTTTTTTAAATTATTACCAGCAATACATTTTTGAAGGAAAAATATTACCAGAAACAGGTTTTTGACAAAACAAAATATTACCAGCAATAAAAAATTTTGTTAGCATTAAATAAACCATTGAGGTTGACATGCCATAAAACAAAACAGACCAAACCAAATGTCCACAATGGAATCAATTATATTGTGTATTATGAAAGCAAATGAGATCTTTATATTTGATATTTATATGCATTTATTAAAAAGTTATATTTTGTCGTAAATTCTAAAAAGTAAAATTTGTAAGTCACCTAAAGACATGGTCTTATTTCTATCAAGATATCAAAGTGTTAATATTTGATTTTGTCTAAGAATTCCGGAAAATTCACTTTTGGTTCAGTAAAATCACAAAAATATCTGATAGATTCAAGATCATCAAAAGATTTCACAAAGTCAATCAAGTTTTCATTATTTTCCATTTCCATTGCTTCCAGTTGGATGTGTCTCAACTTTTCTTCCGTCCCATTGTGATTCTTGAAGTTGTTGATAATGTCACCAACTTTCTAACAACTCAAGGATGGTAAGTGAAATATTTTTGGTTATTCTTCTGTTTCTATACATCTGGTGTCAATGTTTAAACAATGTGGCTGCAAAAAAAAAAAAAAAAAATCAGTGTGTCAAAAGGACAGTTATTCCCTTGACATCGCTATTACTGTATACACTTTTGACTCCCTCAGTAATGTTGTTTATTATTTTAAAAAGTAATGATTAGAATTTTAATAAAACTCAAATATAGTGGATTTATACATTTTCTTTATTCTTGAGAATTGACAAGAAAGATATTAATTTTTTTTCTTTTTATTTAGTCGTTTCAATAATGCTACTAGAATGCAGGGGGTTACAGGGAGTGAAAAGGAATGAGAAGAGGCTGAGAATGGAGGGGGGTGAAGGATTGAGAAAAGGACAAAGAAGGAACAATGTTCATAAAGACAGAACATGGCAATTGAAGTTGTGCTTAAATTTTTGAAGATCATATTTATCAGGAAAGCAAGAAATTGGAAAGAAGTTCTACAGGTGAGAAATGTACAAAAAGAAACTGTTAGAATAGAAGTGGCAATTGCATCTACTTAGTTCAGCAATAAAATGGTGAGACCTAGTTGCCAATCTAGTAGCACCATTTATTAGTGCTTATTTACAAAAAAAATATATTATTCTGGCTCTGTGGAAGAAATGAATAAAATAGAAATGAAATATAAATGAATATCTCCTAAGTATGGAATGCAGAATAAGAACAATTTATCCCCATAGATTGAATAAAGTGTTTCGTTCAAACTTCCAAGAAGACTACTAATATAGAAATAAAAAAAATAAAGGTCAATATTTAACCTTCATGCCCCCAAAAATCGACAGTGTGTCAAAAGAACAGATATTCCCATGACACTGCAGTTACTGTAACCACTTTTGACTCCCTCAGCATTGTTTAGCATCTTAAAAAGTGATGATTAGAATTTTAATGAAACCCAAACTTACTAAAGTGAATTTATAAATATCTTTATTCTTGAGAATATATTAAACACGATGTAAACACTATAAGCAATGTGATGGTATAGGGGTGTATATATATATATATATATATATATATATATATATATATATATATATATATGTGTGTGTTATTATGTAATAATAATAATAATTTGAAAATATCAAATACTTAAAATCCCATTGGTAATAATTTTTATTTCATGAGAACTCTAAAAAAAGCAGCTCTCAAGACCTACAAACAAATCACAAATGAAATGAAAAAAAAATACTATGTGTTAAAATCAAGAGACATTGCTATCTTATTTAGAGAGTGTGAAAAAACAGACAGTACTGACCTATTTTAATATACTGACCTTAGTATGTCATTTGAGGATGATGGAAGGGCTTAAAGTGTAGTTAGTTCAGTGTGAATTGGAAACAATCCCATCTGGTTCTGTCAAATGCCAAATTTCAATGCTGATATATTTCATTCAACAAATTCTATGTAAATAATATTAAAATATATTTCAAAAAAAAAAAAAAATGTTCTGAACCAGAGACTTTTTTAATATTATTTACAGAATTAATTTAAATTAATGTTTCCTTATACATTCATATCCTACAAAATATTAATAAATACTTTTAGGATATAAAAGTTCAGGACTCTAGGTATATAACCTTTATAAATATGTATTTTAATTTAAATTTCTTAGTTAATTATATGAAAAGCTTGTGAAAATATTTTGCTAATTTTGAACTCTTTAAAATGATCTCTTTTAATATTATTTACAAATAATTTATTGAATGAAATATATCAGCATTGAAATTTGAAAACTTATTCCCCCTCCTACTTAAACTCTTCAATATAATACTAGTTTGCTTTCAAAAGTAAATCATTTGTTTTCTGAAGTTATTGAATATCACTAGAAAATTGAACAATAATTTTATGTTCCAAAACATTGACATTTCTGTGGCACAATGAAAAAATATTTTTAAATAATAATATTATGTTTTACTATGCATCAAGCACTTTTTAAAAAGATAAATGCTAAAGAACTGTGGATTATTTATCTGACTGTTATTTGTATTTATTTGGAGATATATATATATATATATATATATAATAATAATAATAATAAAATGTGTCACTAGTTCTGCGCAAGCCTTCCCCACTCTAAACAAATCTTCTGTGTGTGTAGTCTACACTTCAGCTCTGCATTCAGGATTGTTGTCTCATAAGATACACAATTATGAAAAACTTGGTAATCCATATGGGTATTTAAGTAAGAAAGATTAGCCATCTAAAAATAATTACAAATTACATTCATAAATTAGATTCAAACTGTTAAAGATGTTACCTTAACTTCTTTTACAATATTAAAAGAGTACTATTGGTTTGGTAAACAAACTGTTATAGTTTAAAACTTTTTTTAATATGTTCTCTATGAATATGTTAATAAATACAGTATTTAACTTATAATAAATCCCTAAATTATTTGTAAAAAAAGTTTAAATTGCTAGCAAGCATCAAATTAATTTCTTCAGCGTTTGTTTGACATCTAAATTACGATCAAATATTAATATCTATTTTTTACATAAATTGCTAAAACTTACCAACCATCTCCTAAATATGTAAAACCCATTTACAGCCTCTTTCTCTTTACTTCCCTCTCCCTCTTCTTTCTTTTTCCTTTTTCCTTTTTCTTTTCTCTCTTCTCCCCTCCCATTTCAATCTATCACTTCCGTTAAGTTAACCGTTTAAATAGGTCAAGGTCTGATCACTCCTCCTCCCCCAATATTAATTATGATTGAGAGAGATATTAAATTAAACCCTCCCTAAACTCTACCATGTCTCTCTAACCACTCCTTATTACACTCTCTGTTAAATTACAAAATCTTACACTATCCATCAATTTTCATTTCATTTTTCATTTCATTTTTGGAAGTGCTATCTGATGATCCAGAGTCCTTTAAAAGGGCTCTGGTGAAATAAATTATTATAATGGAATCTTAAAGTGGTCTGTTTTTCTTTATATATATATATATATATTTAATGTGTACATATATTAATATGATAACATAGAAGAACAGAGAATGAACAGAATTCTCTTTCTATCCCCCACAGATGCAGTTCATATAACTTTATAAACATTGCCGCTTGTGTTTATTGTTTTTTTTTTTTTTGTTTTTATAATAAATTTCAATTTTAGTTGTGCTTCCTCATTTAACCCCCTTATAGATATTTTGGGTTTCACAGTGCAGTTTTTTTTCATTTTGTTTCTTTAAGAACATGCCAGCATATTCTTCTGAAGAATTGTTGATTGAAAAAAAGGATCCTTTAAAGAATCATGTCAGGGTCGCCATTTTGTTCTGATGGGCCTTATTTGACTTCTGTTTTTTTTGCTAAGCGAAACAGACATATATTCATCATAAGAAAGTGAGACATTCATACATATATAGAAAGATTTATTTCTCAGGATTTGTTTGTATGATTTCAGTAGATACTTGAAAGTATCTAATGTGGTTGTTATGTTTCTTTTTTGTGTTTGTCTTGGTGAATAAATAAACTATTTGCAAGTGATAAGTCTATCATTAAAAGATAATATTAAACATGAGAAAGTGATATTGGTGTAAAACTTATCTAAGGTCTTCATTCCTGGAGCCATTGACATCCACATAGTCTCTTGGTGAGAGGTAAATTAAAAAGAGGGTAACTAAGTTTCCCACCAGTGGGGTGGTTTCCTTTTTACTAGGGAATTATGGGAAATTATTTATTTTATTTCTTGCGAATGAGAGATCATTACACCTTTTTTGTATATTTAAGGCAATATACAAATTCTGTGTGTGTATATATATATATATATATATATATATATATATATATATATATATATATTGTCATCCACAGACAGACTGTTTCACTGTATCACAGCTCATCAGTATAACTAGACATTCGGTTGCCTTTAGCTAGGATCAAAACCCAGCTGAATTGGCATCAGTCAGAGATTCTACCCCTAAGCTGTTGGTACACAGCAGGGATTAAGGTGAATTTAAGCGTATTTTATTTTTAGATAAACGCATAGTGACTGAGAGAACCTCGATTCATTTTACTGAAGAGTCTTGCATTATTAGCAGTAATAGTCACTGTTTGCAAACTCACACTTTCTCCCCAGAGAACTCAACTGAAATAAATTTTTTCAGGAGCATATATATTGTCATCTAAAGAAGAATGTTAATTTAAAAGACTGTTTTTGCAGCCCAAATTGTTGGTTTTTCTGTGGTCTGCTGATAAGAAAGCATTTAAGGCAAGCAGTCTTTGTGGTAGAGTGCTTGATATCAAAAACAAGGATAGTGTGTTAACAGAATTAATATGGAAAAACCTTTTTTTCTGTTAACTCATCTTTACTTCAGAGTTTTATGGTTGTATGCATCCAGCCACTTGGAACAGAGTTAATCTGCTGCTATTTCTTGGTTCTCTTGTGCTTTTATTGGTATGAATATCTATTTCCTTTTTTCTCTCCATTGATTGTTGATTTCTCTTCCACTATTTTTTCTCCTTATATTTTTTTCTCTTTTATTTCTTTCCTTACATTCATTGGTCTCTGGTTACGGTTGAACATTTGATTTGGGTTAGGTTTGGAATTTAGTATGTATGTGTATATCTTTGTGAAGGTGTGCATCTGTGTGTATGCTCACCTATGTGTATGCATCCATGCACACATGCACACAAGCATGTGTATGTTTGTGTATGTGTGTATGTGCACCTACATGTATGAATATTTACTTGACTTCCCACTGAGTCAGGATGTGACACAAGGTCAGTTTTAACTTGGGGAACCCAAGTATTTCCACTCAGGCCACTGGTCTAAGCTGGTCATAGCTTGTCCAAGCTGGTCAGAGCTGGTCTAAGCTAGTCATAATCATAGTCATATGTTTGTGTTTGTGTGTTTAATTTTGTGTTTGTGTTAAATGTATCTGTATATCTTTATTGGGCTGTACATATACACAATCTATTTAACCCTGAGCAATGACCACACAAGAAGGTTTGATCATTAGAATTCCTTTATTAAGAACACTTGCAAAGGATATACCATAAAAAAGTGAAAGGAATAGTAGCTTAGTATATGTTATGATGTTGATTTGGGGTTAGTAGAGGCAAACGCCAAATAACACGTAACAATAAAAAGGGTTTTAATAGGTTGGTAAAAAGGTACAGAAATCGCCTGAGTAGTCAATAACTAGCTCAGCTAAGAACTTCTCTGTCTATCTGTCTTCCCCATGTCAACTGACATGCCGCTATTTAAAGTCTTTGTTCACAGATGCAGACAAGTTCATCTTCAAGAGGGGTGGTAGGTTTCCGACACAACAGTATACCAATGGATAGTGCATGCAAGTAGGGATGCAGGCAAGCATTTCTAAACAGTGTGGTTGCAGATGTACTGGGTACCTCTGCTATATATATATATATATATATATATATATATATATATGTGTGTGTGTGTGTGTGTGTGTGTGTGTGCATATGCATTTAACAATGGAAATAACTCACATAGGAGTTTTTTTGTTTTTTTCTGTGGTCAATGTAATTGGTTTTTAGGGCAAATCTTTTATCTTGTTTGTGTTTCTCTGAATGAGGAGTGATTGCTGTTGGTACTCATGCGTGTTTCAGTGAGTCCTCTGAGTAGCTTAGGGTGCATTCTTATATAGGCAGAGATAGATTCAAAATGAAAGACAAAATATATATTTTTTTGGGGGGGGTTGTTTCCCCGTTGGTTAGTAAGGATCACATGGTATGCTTACTGCTCTGTCCACAATAACAAGTCTTCCTTTTCTATTTTTAGAGTTGATGAAATTAGGAATTTTAATTTTTTTTATTTATATATTTTCAAAATCCCAACCAGCTTATCTTAAATGATTCTTATATGTTGTTGTCTTTAGGCAAATTTCTCTCACTCTTAACAGGAACAATAACTTCTAGTATCATTCATGAGTTTCAATTGAGTTTGGCCTTAAAATGTTTTCAACTTAATCATCTCAATTGCAATTGTCAACATGAAATAAAAATTAATTAACATAATGTTGATGTGTGTTCTTTTTATTTTATTCTTTTTTAAACACTTTACTGATTTTAATTTTCTTTTTGTTTTACTTTCAGCAAATTAAAAGCGAAAGCAAAGATTATGTTTAATCAATCATTCTTTGATCTTCAGGTAAGTAAATGGATGATGTGTCCAGAAAAATATGCTTTTATAAGCAAATAACACTGTTATGACCACTAATTATCAACTACCATTCATCCATGATTAGAATATTGTTGTCACATATGGTCCAGTGACCCTGTTATTTACTTTGATCTCTTTGATAAAATCCAAAAAAAGGATCAGCAATATTATTGGTCTTAATCTTGTATCTCGACTTCAGTGACTTTCCAATGTTGCCTCCCTGTGCCTTTTGTATGAATACTTTCATGGTAATTGTTTGGATGAGCTCTTTGTTACGAAACCTAAACTTTTTGAATTTAAGCGCAGTAATTGACTGGCATCAAGATCTCATCTATTTGCAGTTATGCTGGGTTAGATGTAGCTGTAAGTTATATGCTAACAGTTTCTTTTCTCACACTTCTCACTTGTGGTTTAATTTGCAAAAATATAAATGCAGTGTCAATTGCTGTCTACTGTTTTCCTCATTGCTCTTTTCTCTTTCCATTCATTATTAATGTTTCTGTTTCTAATTCTTCCACACACGGTAACACCTTGTGTTTTAGTGACTTTACTGCCTTGCATACTGTTATAAGCTAAGAACCCTGTTATGACCTTTGATTAATTTTCCAAAATAAATAAAAAGCAAAAGTAATTAAAGATTAAATTTCTTGCAATATCAATAGAATTTTTCTTTTTGAAAGTTTTGCATTTACAATTATTTTCCAGGCATAACATTGACAATAAAAGTTTCAAAAAAGTTTATACAACTGAATTATGATAATTATTAAATTTTCTTTTTTTTAATCAAGTTCACCTGAAGCAAGGTAGTAAAGGCACAAAGGGTTACTGAGTGAGGAAGAATTAGAAAACAGAAATACTACTGAGGAACAAGAATGAAAAGAGTAATCAAGAAGACAGTAGATAGTGATTGACATTATATTTAAATTTTTGAAGATTAAAATTGACTGGAAAACATCAATGTGGAAGAGAGTTCTACAAGCGAGAAGTGAGAGAAAAGAAACTGTTAGCATAAAACTTACAGTTAAATCTAGCCAATTCAATTGTAAATTGATGAAACCTCAACATCAGTCTTAAATTCATAGCAAAGAACTCATCTGAACAATTACCATGACAATATGGAAAAGGTATATGGAGACAAATTGATGACAGTAGAAAAGTAATTGAGGCCAAGATGACAGATCAGGACCAATAATATTGCTGATTCTTTGTTGGATTTTATCAAGGATCTCTAAATATATAGCAGGAGCACTGGGCCATATATGGCAGCAATATTCAAGGCATGACTAAATGGTAGACTTATAAATATGTAAAATAGATTCTGTAAAGAAAAATTATCTAGCACAACACAGAGAACTAACTTTCTTCGCAGCTGACCTAGCAGTTGATTCAATATAGTCTTTCCACTTCTTGTCATCTGAGAACATTACCACAAGAAAATGCAATGAGTCATCCTCCTGGAGGTTAGCATCAGCCATACTGATAGAAAGCAGAAAGTGGTCTCTTAGATGGTTAATAAAGTGATGTTCAGTTTGGGATGCATTAAAATTAACAAGCCATCCTTTGCCTCAGTTAACAACAGACTGAAGTTCTTTTTTGACATCAGTCACCAATTTGACCTTATGAACCTGATTAGACTTTCTATCTAGATAGGAATAAATGTTTGTGTCATCAGCATAGAAATTATCCTAAATGGATATCAGGGCCATAAAAATGCATCTTGACACCTGCAAACAACTGCTTGCCCCAACTGAAGAATCCTGGTTGATATATATATATATATATATATATATATATATATATGATAAAATATAATTTTAAGGTAGGCTATATTTATAGATTAAAGTGCTCAATATTAGGGATAGAGCATATGTAAATATGAAAGTAGATATGGAAGTCTCTGTGTGTTGACTTCATTGTCCACTTTATATTTATTTTATACACACACACATATATATATATATATATATATATATATATAATCAAATGGATAAATATAGGCATGAGCAAGCATTCATATATATATATATATATATATATATATATATATATATATATACTATAGTGAAAATAAAAACTGTTCAATGTTAAATAACACAGCTATTTAATATATGAAAAAATATACATAATACCCTATGTTGACTGCACAACTGCAGAATTTCAGTTTGGGGTTACACCTTTTTGTTTAATGTTTCCAGTTATCATGAGATATTTTATTGTTAGGGTCGATTATTATTATTATTATTGTTGTTAACTATTTAAATGAATTATAGTTTAATTTTGTATTTGAATTTAGGCTCAGATGAAGATTTAAGTTTGAAAGTAAGATTGAAAATAAAAAAATATGAAGGGGATAACTATTTTTTGTATGAAAATCAATAAAGAAGTGAATAAAATGAATGATATTAAAAACTTATTAAAATTGGTAATATTAATGATATTAATATAATATGCAGTGATAAAATAAAATTAAGATTCTAATAAAAATAATACATAACAATAAAAATAAAATAAAAATATATAAATAAAAACCTATAAATAATAAATAAATAAATAAAAATGTGTCAGAAAAGCAAGTTAACTGTTCCTCTGTTGTGGGAAACACTTTCTACTCAACAATTTATAGGCAGTTGCACACAATTGTCTTACTAGCAGCAACGTTTTTATTATCACCATTATTATGTTTATTTACTTATAAATGCATGCTGGGATTTCCTCCTAGCCAATAAAATAGGCCAATTCTCAGTTTCATATGACTTGATCCTGATCTGTCTTATCTTAACACTATGTTCGCTTATTCAAATTTGCTCAAATGTCAAACTCAATTCTTTGTTTGTGAACTCTTTGCCATATTACTGTTGCTTTGCATATATTATTTGCTTTTTTTGTATTATTTTTTTACCCTGTTCTTTTCTTTTCTTTTTATTGTTATTGTTTATTACAAACTTTGTCAGTTCTGTTTGTTGGGCAATTCTGCCATTTATCTACATTTAACCATGGCCAATCACTCTACAATTTCACTATAAAAAATATTGAAATTCAGGAAGAAAGGGATCCAGATTTAATACAAGTGTTACTGACAAAATAGGGCAATTGTATTTTTGCATCCCTTGTTTTGAAATTCACATTCTTAGGCCCTTTCCCCGTTGCAAGATATTTGCGATTTTTCTTATTGTAATAAACTGAATATATTATTCAAAATATTTTTTCTGTCTTCCAGAAATTCACCACACTTACTCTGTGGTCTACATGTGGCAAATCAAGCTGCTGGAGTTACCCCAAAATGAACTGTGTCGTTTGCCTATCCAATATGTCTTCAAAGCAAGGAAAAGTAAGTAATTATTATTAGAGGTTGATATAAGAAATTATAATTTTTTTTTTTTTAATTCTGCTTATTCTTTTGTTACATTACACAAAGTAATGCTTGCTTGTCCCCTGCCCACAATTTCTTGGTATAGCAACAGTGGACAGAGTAAACCTCAAAACACTTTTTTAAAAAACTTCCTGCAAGCCTCATTCTGAGGTACATTGAAGCTGTATATATGTGTTTCTTACTGTTCTGTGTTGATAATTGTAACAAAGGGAAAAAAATGATTTACCACAACACAGAGCTAAATCACAAACAAATATTTAATTTACTAAAACACAATATAAAATATATACAAGATAAACAATTGTGGCCTACAAAACAGAAAACACAGAATTTATGGGTAAAGTATTACGAGGGAGGAGGAAGGTGAGTCAAATATCTTTATCACTTTAGGGCTAGTGAAGTAATCTAAGTGCTATATTTGGAAATCCATAAAGGTGTGTAAATAAATATTAATTCTTAGTTTGGTCAATGAAAATCAGTCAAAATTCTATTTACCAAATTTGTTCCATGAAATTCTCTTTTGGATTTTTGTTGGTGGCAACTTTTTTATAGAGATTCTTTTCATTTGGATATAATAGTCCTCGAATCGAAAGCGGAGTTGATAACAGCAGAAATTCTCCTTCATCAACTGACAACCCTTTTCCAAAATACCATTTTTATAGGGGCTAACACCTAATTTGCATATTTCTAGATGTTTCTTGAATCATCTAGATTCTTCTCGAATATACTGGAATGATCTAGAATCTTCCAAACATTCTATTTCAAATTTCTCTATTTTATATCTACTTCATGAAAGAAAACTTTTTTGTATTAACAGGTAGAACTCGGTAGAATCCCTTACTATAAATTTTAACCTTATTGAGACTTTCTTATTATAGAAATGCATCCTCATAACACTTACATTCATATGTCTACTTCAATGAAATGGAAAACCTTGTCAATTTGGAATGTTTTCATTTGTAGCCTCTTCTCTAAACAATGACCTGAATTCAAGTTATGATTGTATTATTTTGTTAAAGTTGTTAAGCTCAAATATTTAACAATGCAATAAGAGAGTTTCCACAGATCTTTTATAGTTGTAGAATTAGCAAGAAGCTCATTCAATCCTTATATAAAAAATGGGGATTCAGCAGAAAATTCAAATAAGAAACCCTTTAAATTTACTGTTTATTTTTTTTGTTTTTTTAAATTATTTCCCAAGCCAGACAAAGCGACAAAGACACAAGGGGTTACTGAGTGTTAAAGAATATATGGAAAAAAATATTTTTTTTGCCTACCATCAGGATGACTAATGTATCTCCAGGAGAGAAATATTGGACACCCTCCTGGCTTCATGTTTTCCACCAACATGAAGTGGAGAGACTATATTAAGTCAATTGTTATATCTGCTGCAAGGAAGGTTGGTTCACTGTGTTGTACCAAAAGATTTTCTCGTCAGGATCCATTTTTCACATTTATATATCTGACATTTGTACACATATTGAATACTGTTGTCATATCTGGCCTGGTGCTTCTATTATGCATCTCAAGATTCTTGACAAAACCCAGTGAAGAATCTGCAATATTATCAGTCCTGACCAGGCATCTTGACTTCAGTCACTTTCTCACCAATGTGATTTGACTGCCCTCTGTCTTTTCTACAAATATTTTCAAGGTAACTGCTTGGATGTGCTTTTTTTCCTGGTGCCCCAGCTACGTGAATTTAAGTAGGCTACTAGATTGGCAACTAGGTCCCACCATTTTACTGTTGAACTAGCTAGATGCAACCATCATTTCTAATGTAACAATTTCTTTTTTCTCGTGCTTCCTGCCAGCAGAAATCCTTTTCGATTCCTTTATTCCCTGATAACTACAATTTTCAAAAAATTAAATGAAATGTCAATCATCATCTGTCATTAAGATGAACTGTTCCTTCTTTTGCCCTTTCCTCAATCCTCTTCATTTTCAATCTTCTCATTTACTTTCACTCCCTCTAACCTCCCTGCACCCTACTGGCAGTGTCACCTTGCTTGGGGTGAAATTATTAAAAAAAAAATTATAGTCATTTTGCACCCAATCAGTATTGAAACTTTTATTATGCAGAAGTTCATGCAATACAAGGCTTGAGAGCTACCTAAGGTAAAGGATTGTTGTTTAAAAGTGATATGAGGAATGATGTGTGATATAAGTAAAAGAGGCAGTGGCAAGAAGTGAAGATTTGAATAAGGAGAATAGATAACGATTGTATCTTGACATGACTTTGGATCCTCTGAAGACTAAAATGCAGATATGGCATTGTTTGGATCATTTTGGTTTTGAAATACTTAAGAACATGAATTTCTTTTGGAAATACATCTTTTGATTATTGTAAAATGGAAAAGAAACAAAATTGTGAATTATAATTGTAAATCCAATTTCTAATACATTTAATAGAAATCTTTCCATGTTCACTTTTGCTTGGCCTTTGGATATTTTGTATCCCTGCGAACAAAAGTGTTGCTTTCAGTAGATGGGAAGACCTTATCTTGAAGATCCTCCATTTTCAAGTGCACATGCAATCCTGGATCTGTCCCTTCCTCCTGACATAGATCTTCCAGTTGTCTTACCTTGAAAGATCAAATACAGAATTAATAATGGCTGACAATCCTTCATCTAATAAGAATAAAATTCAAGATAATATTACTACTAATACTACTAATGAAATAAAAAGCAATTGAAATTAAGATGAAAGAAATCCTAGTCAAAAATGAATAATGGCTGACAATGCTTCATCTAATAAGAATAAAATTCAAGATAATATTACTACTAATACTACTAATGTAATAAAAAGCAATTGAAATTAAGATGAAAGAAATCCTAGTCAAAAATGAATAATGGCTGACAATGCTCCATCTAATAAGAATAAAATTCAAGATAATATTACTACTAATACTACTAATGTAATAAAAAAGCAATTGAAATTAAGATGAAAGAAATCCTAGTCAAAAATGAATAATGGCTGACAATGCTCCATCTAATAAGAATAAAATTCAAGATAATATTACTACTAATACTACTAATGTAATAAAAAGCAATTGAAATTAAGATGAAAAAAGTAACAGTTAAAACTGAAGAATAGTTGATGTTACCTGTAACAAATCATTAGTCATGTGTTAATGTGTTTGTGTGTGAGGGGTGAGTTCAGTGAAAGTTTATTTATTATATTTTGCTATGGCTTTCATTTGGATAAAAATGAAGTTGTTTCTGGCTAAATACTGGCTGAGCATTATTTATTATCTCTTGTCTAAAAAATGTTTAGAACTCTCAATAAATTCCATTCAAAGTAAGTTTCTTCACTCATAATTCTTTAGTACTATTTTTTTAGATACCAACATGAAAGTAAATGTTGTTTTTCCTAGTAAGACAAAAATCATATATTATAAGCATTTACAAAGTTTAGCTTGATCTTTTTGAATATATCTGAATAATATTCAAACCTCAATCGACACTCAATGTAGTGGGTTACAGATTAAGAGGCAAATTTTATGGGGATTTGTGAGGAAGATAACAGTTAACTCTAGTCTGGTACAAGGCTATGGATATGGAGAACCCAGTGAGGGTGAAACTCACTACTGTAGTAATAGTCTATGAGACTAGATTGTTAACGATCATGAAGCACACAATTGACATAATCTTGAACAAAGCCACATGTGCAGATTGATCTCGTTTCACTGAGTTGCTCTACAGTGGGACACTATAACAACCGACTAGTAATGTAATTGAATATTTTCTGTTTGAATTTCTGGGATGACAGATATTATTATTTATGTTATTCCTATTTGTACTATTTTCCTCATCTTTGTTTTTATTATCACAATATTTAGACAGTTGTACTCAATGGCCTCTGCCAGGTATCAGTCACACTCGGTAACCTTGCAGGCCCTTTATTTTATCTAATAAATTGTTCTCATTCTGCTGTCCATATAGATATCGTTTTCTCCTTTTTAGTACTACTTAGTTATTGCTCAGCCTCTTTCTCACTGACTACTACCAAGCCCAAGGATTGAACTCATAATTATTATGACACTAATTGTACCGCTGCAGTAAGTACCTGACTCCTCCTGCTATCCTCTACTTTTATAAGAGACAGATCAAGCTGAAAAGAGAGTACAGCTGTCAAATAGAATGCTACAGTCTTAACCTGCTCAAATCTAGGGTTAACCATTATCTTCCCCATGTATGCTTCTAAACTGTGCTTCTTACTCTGTAACTCCAGTGGCTCTTGGGCCTTGTAAAGAATGAACATCATTGTAAATAAAGCAACAACAAAAAACAACTCTATGCTATTGTCCTGACATGTTTTGATAACAACAACAAAGATGAGGATATTAGTCTGAATGTAAATGTTAACTCTTCATCCTAGAAATTCAGACACAACAGAAGGGATTACCCTCAGGCAATCAGGTAATAATAACAACAAAGGTGAGGATATTAGTCTGTTGGGATCTGTCTACCCAGCTTTTCATTGCTATTTGAGTGTTTAGATTCCAAACATTTAACAACAATGCATCTTTTAGATTAAACATATAAAAGGTTATTTTCTGAAGGTAAAGTAGAAACAGAACGTCAGTTGAAATAACATTTATTGATTCTTTTTTAGAAATATACAATAACAATAAAATGTTCAATTTTACTTGCAGTGAAGTTTCTTTTATAAAGTAATTAAGTGTTCTTAGTGTGGTGGAATTGTGTGAACTTTACATTGGTCAGCCTAATGTATTTGTGAGTCCATAGACAAAGGTTTAGTAGGCCATTGCTGGGTAATCCCTTCTGTTGTGTGCATGGACAAGTCAGTGGTTGCTGGCTGTCTCTCTTCCATTCTGTGTGTGTGGGTGCATATGTATGTATGCCCATGTAGATCAAACTGGCCTCCAAAATTCTTTTGAACTCCAAGAAGCAGTATGCTTCTATTTTTATATATGAAGTGCATTCAAGTATAA